ATAAGAGAATAAAGTAAACAGGTATAAAATACTATTTGACAGTAAAAAAAAGTTGTTTTTAATAAACAAGAATACAGTTTGAAAGGGGAGTGATTTGTAAAATATCCATAAAGAAAAATAAATCTGCTTACAGTTCTGTTTCATATGGATGTTGAGAGATGTATCCATAGATCTCTTAATGTTACTCTCAAAGTGCACCAGATTGATGCTTTTCAACTTCAACATTTCCCCCTTCTTGGGGGAGCATGCCCCCACATATTGTCTCCATATCTTTCTGTTGTGGTGGTCATGCCAAAACCGTGCACGTGCATGCATGCGCGAGTCATGGTAAGATATCTGGATTAAGACGTTGCTTTTTCTTTGCACAGCATGAGGCAGAAAGGCCAAATGAATGGGCTGTGATTTTAGTATGTTTAAGCAGAGGTCAATAACTTGTACGGCCCTCAGAGGATATTGTAAAAATTGAAATGGCCCTTGAGAGGAAAAAGGTTCCCCACCCCTGGGCTAAGGTAAGCTAAGCAGTCAACCATACCAGGACCAGGACCAGTACTGGTATAAACAGAACCCCCCCTGTTCCATATGATAATTTATATTATTATTATTATACAGCATACATACAGCTCTGGGTCTGAGATGAGTCTGTTTCCCGACAATCTGAACATATTCCAGTTGCTTCAACACTTCAGAACACATGTCTCTGGCTGCAGGCTTTCTTCATCCTCAAGAATGTGTTTTATTTCTACATTTTAGTTCTACATCTCATATTGATCATGATTGCACCATGATCTCATTTTTATTAAAAACAGCTGCATGCTCTTTCTGCTGAAGGTAAAGTGAACACAACTCTAAAGCTGGGTAGTGCAAGTTCATATCAGCTGAAATATATTTAAATATTCTGTGGAGCAAAACGCGAAATAAAAGAAATGTAGCCTAGCATAAACGTTTCTAGCTACACCAACTTCAGTGTGCTGTAATATTTACATTTTAACTGAGCTGTAGATATAATATGATGAAGGAAAATATATCAAGCTCATACCAGCATATGAGATTTTATCGAGAGTAAAACTAATTTGATCAAAGTATCAGTTATAACTTTATAATGCAAAAAGTGCATTCATTATAATGCAGTTTGTACATGTTAGATACAATTCACGTTTATTACAGAATATTTCTAGATATTCTACAACTGAAGAGCTTCATCCAAAATGCGACATCCGACATTTGTATAAAAGTTAACCACACTGTACAAAAAGTCGTTTGAGTTCTTTATTAACGATTGCAGGCCAATTCATGGTTTAGAGTGATGGAGAACAAAATGTGGGGGGGGGGCCTCATCCGTTCATCTGACAGGTGCGGCAGCAGAATTTACGGTACAGCTTCTTCTCACAGAGACGGTTGGACCGGACCATTTGACAGAACACCTCGTCAGCTGACACACAAGCAGACAATCAGGTTCAATATATAACTAAAATAAATTATACCATATAATACCTAAACTTCACTATCTGGTCCCTGTTTGTAGTGTCAAGTTAGTGTAAACATAATTTATTTAGCTTATATCTGCTAAGTGTTGCATGTTTCCTTTTTATTAAGAAAATATAATCTACATCCTTTTCACAAAAAATTAAAACATGTACTGTACTGTAATGCCAGTAGTAGCATTAGAGGACCTGAAAATATGAATGATTCAGACTAAGTCACGTCATCCGAGGGTCAGCGGTTCGATCCCCAGTCCCTGCAGTCAACATGTTGAAGTGTGGGTCAAATATACTGTGCCCCAAATTGCTCCTTTAGGCACGTCTATGATATTAAAGTGTTGGTAAGTCACACACCAGGGTGAATTATCATTATCCCTCGACACATTATCATGCGGCAAACCTATAAGTTATTTGGCCCCAACATATCATTTGGTACTCACCATTATTACAGGAAGCATCCACAACACAGGTCCTGCTAACCAGACGGTACCCCTCTTTGCATTTGGTGCATGTTGTTCCGGGGCCACTGCAGCTCAGGCAGTTTTCCTCACACCTTTATAGAAAAATCCATATAAAGCCAGTAGTTAAGAACTAAAATCATCAAATTATAAACAAACTTATTTTTATTCATTTTCGTTTCTATAAGGATAGTAGCTTAGAAGTATTTCAGCTGAAAAAATGTTGATCAATGGTGTAAGAAAATATGTTTTAATGAGTATGAACCAGAGATATTTGTAGGACTGAGAATCCCCCACCTGTGGCAAATCTTGTGAGGGACTCCAGCTGCCTCTCCGGGGTAGTATCCAGGACCACAGCTCTGCACACACCTCCACTCCTGCTGCAGGAAGCCCTCAGCACACTGGATACACTCCCTCTTACCTGGACCTGGGAAACACACACATCTTCATTAATTAATGTCACACAGTGCTTTAGGAAAAACGTGATTGAAAAATATTCACATCTTGGTGAGTCCTTAAACCCGGAAATTAGTTAGCATTTTACCACTTCCTGTTCCCTTATCTTGAAGTCAAAGGTTTTTTGGTTGGATGCTAGGAATGAGATCTGGGGTTAAAGGTCTCCTTTTATACTACTTTTAGGCATATATTATAGGTCTCAGATCTATAAAAACCTATCTGTGTTTTGCTCAAAATACCAGACAGATCACCCATTCTAGTCATGCATCATACCCCTCTATTTCAGCCTGATAGAGAAGTGCTGATTCTGGGTTCGTAGATTAAAAAAAAGAAAAAGAAAAACGAGAGCCGAGACAAGAGCTCATGCAGGAGAATTCTACCCAGATACTCAGCTAAATGCTGTCGTGATTAAACGCCATATTATGTTCCAAACCACATCAAGGATTATTTCTGAAACAGTATGGAGCTCAAATGCTTTTTTTCTCACGGGTTTATCACAAGGTGAGTACCTTTTTATATCCTTATTTTTTACACATACTCTCTCCAGTACAGATTAGCTCTGAGTGTTAGCGATGCTTGGTAATGTAAACAAAGACCATATTACTTCTAAAACACGTTGCACATTGTTTCTGATACAGCAAGGTTTCTGATAGGGCCGTGGGTGTAAAGCCCGCCCATAGTTTCCGATATAACGTCATATTGGCAGCAAATCTGGATCAGCTCCGTTGTTCCCCCGTTTTTAGAGATTAGGGTACAGAGGAAAAGAGGGAGGGTTTGGTTTTCTGACACTTTGTGAGTTCCCTGACACACCGGGGAGACATATTCATTTATGTATAAAAGACATCAAAAAGTGAATTTTGCATGATAGGAGACCTTTAACACAAGTTAAAGAGATTTTCACGTTTTGTTCTATGACATGAAATATGTCAGTTAACACGCTTACTGGTGATCTAATGGTGTCAGAAACGTCTTGTTTTAAAAATGGCGTTTGCTAACAACATTAGCCACCTTTAGCTTAAAGGTGCTGACACACAGCCATGTGCCCCTTATCTAGTTAATTTATAGCCATTAGCTTTTACTTCTGCAGATTGTATTTACGCTTCCAAAAACATAAAAGTGGTGTTTGTACGTGAGGATTATTCTTCTGAACAAAACATGTAAATATCATAGACATGTTTGCCACAGATTTCCTCAGAGATTCCTCAGATCCACAGATTTCCTGCAATATTCTAAAATCCTATAGAAGAAAATCCCATTGCTTTTCTCAAGGGAGCTTGTGCTATGTTAATTTCCGGGTCAACCTACAAACATAAGTTATGACTGCATTTTCTTACCTGAATCTTTTCAACTATGCCTGCTAGCCCTTCTAGGTTAACCTCAGGTTTAGCAATTCCCTCATCAATTGGAGGTTTTATTTGGTCTGTTTCTGTGATGGCACTGTAGAAACTGCTCATACCAAACACACTGACCTGTACAAGTCCTACAAGAGGAATGGCATGTGCTGCAGGTCATCTCCTCCAGGTTGGAAAATGTCCCATTGGTGCAATCAGGAACACAAGTTATTCCTGCCAGACTATAAACACAAATCAACTACATTCGAAACGTAGTCAAAACCAAACTGTAAATGGTGAACAGACTGTTTCTACATACCTGTAGCCCTCGCTGCAGGCAGTGCACCTATCTCCATATCTCAGGCATGTCATACAGGTGTCATGGCACTTCAGACACTGTCTCTGATCTAGCATAGACAGCATGCTCAAGCATCAATATAGTGCTGCAAATAATATAATTACGATGATTTTCTTAACAATTCCTATGAACACAGCAGTCTTTAAATTTAGACAATTTACTAGCAGGACACCAGGAGACGTTATGGTTGAATAATATTCAATATAATAGACTGTTTTATGTAATTAGTGGGGTATCTGAATCTACTCCTATTACTCCCCATAATTCTCACATCATGATTATAAACCACAGCAAGGCTTCTTTTTGCAAGGCCTTGTTCGACTTGGATTATATTTTTATATATATATATATTTTACATATTACATTTTCTTTGAGATGCCAGTGAAAGTATTTCTTGGCTTTGAGTGTGGATGGGAAGTTTATTATTTAGGAGGACACACTTTCATTATCACCACGTCTCTTTGCTTGGTTTAGGAACCCCAGTAGCTCCTGAATCTTTATAGTGGTAATTTAGGTTTAGAATGTAAGCTGATTATTACAACTAGCTTGCTAATATGGAACGAATTGAATTTTGTAGGTATAGTAGATAAAAGCCTATCAAATCCAAATGTGTGATACTATGAGACTAATGTTTGCAACTCAATAACCACTAACACCCCAAACACTTCTATCGGCATTAAACTGATAAGAACCGACCATGGAGCTAAGATGTTTCAAACCCCTGACATACATCACTGCTAAATATCAGATATGTATTAAAAGGATGTGTTGACTTACTCTCATCAGCAAAGTACCCTGTGGGGCAGGTATGGATGCAGCTGGAGTTGAGTGTGTTGAGGTACAGGCCTCTTCTGCAGGACAGACAGCTGCTAGCTGACCGGCCCTCACACTCCTCACAGCCTTTAAAGCAGTGTCTACAGCGACGGGACGCAATGTCCTCATAGTGTCCCAGAGGACAGTGGCTCACACAGGTTCTACACACAGGGGCAGCATGGTGAGAGTTAGTTTGCAGCTAAATATGGAAGGGCTTGTATGGGTGGATCGGGGAAATTTGATTCCAAGGGTGACCTGTTCTACCCAATACCCTAGGAAATGAGCCGGCCATTGGTGCATATTTTTGTAGTGGCCAAAACGGTGGGATTACAACTTCTGTGTCATTGGTGTGGCGTCATCGAGCCCAAAAATACTTTTTTCCATTGACTTACATTGGGATTGGAGGATTAGGAAAACTACATTGTACATGTTCCAAGGGCCCAGAACCTCAGATGATCTGGTATTTTTGTTCTTGTCAGTCAGCCCATTTTGACATCATGCGCCAATGAGGAATTTTCATTGAAGTAAATACCGTATCCAGTTCCCTTTAAACATCCATGGTTCTACCCCATTCCATCCTGGTTTACTCTCGCAAGGATCCTGGAGGAGGCCTGGGAGTATGCTTATCCGGTCTACATGTGTTTTGTAGACTTGGAGAAGGCGTATGACTGGGTTCCCAGGGAGATACTGTGGGAGGTGCTGCAGGAGTAGGGGGTGAGGGGGTCTCTATTCAGGGCCATCCAATCTCTTCATTCCCAAAGAGAGAGCTGTGTCCGGGTCCTCGACAGTAAGTCTGACTCATATCTGGTGAGGGTTGGCCTCCGCCAGGGCTGCGCTTTGTCAACAATCCTGTTTGTGATATTCATGTATAGGATTTTGAGGCGCAGTCGTGGGGGAGGGGGTCTGCAGTTTGGTGGGCTAAGGATTGCACCACAGTTTTTTGCAGATGATGTGGTTCTGATGGCTTCATCGGTCTGCGACCTTCAGCACTCACTGGATCGGTTCCCAACCGAGTGTGAAGCGGCTGGGATGAGGATCAGCACCTCCAAAGCTGAGGCCATGGTTCTCAGCAGGAAACCGATGGACTGTCCACTCCAAGTAGGGAATGAGTCCTTACCCCAAGTGAAGGAGTTCAAGTATCTCGGGGTCTTGTTCTCGAGCGAGGGAACAATGGAGCGTGAGATGGGCCGGAGAATCGGAGCAGCGGGAGCGGTACTGCAGTCGCTTTATCGCACCGTTGTGACGAAAAGAGAGCTGAGCCAGAAGGCAAAGCTCTCAGTCTACCGGGCCATTTTCGTTCCTAACCTCACCTGTGGTCATGAAGGATGGGTCATGACCGAGAGAACGAGATCGCGGATACAAGCGGCCGAGATGGGTTTTCTCCGCAGGGTGGTTGGTGTCTCCCTTAGGGATAAGGTGAGAAGTTCGGTCATCCGGGAGGGACTCGGAGTAGAACCGCTCCTCCTTCGTGTCGAAAGGAGCCAGTTGAGGTGGTTCGGGCACCTAGTTAGGATGCCACCTGGGCGCCTCCCTAGGGAGGTGTTCCAGGCACGTCCAGCTGGGAAGAGACCAAGGGGTAGACCTAGAACCAGATGGAGGGATTATCTCTTCGCTGGCCTGGGAGCGCCTTGGGATCCCCCAGTCAGAGCTGGTTGATGTGGCGAGGGAAAAGAAAGTTTGGGGCTCTCTGCTGGAACTGCTACCTCCGCGACCCGACCACGGATAAGCGGGAGAAGATGGATGGATGGATGGATGGATGGATGGAAGTTAGACATTTTGATGTTCCGGACCTTTGCATGGGGACATTTTCTCTAACTGGACCTCGTTGAATT